CACACACACACACACACACACACAAACGTTTTCTGTTCAAGCAGGAGCCCGGTCTGCATTCTTGCTCAGCCATTTTCACAGGTGTATACTATTCCACAGGGTGCCTAGTGCTCCCTCCTCTTCGCGGGCATCTAGATGGTTTGGGATTTCTGCCAAGATCGCAGCAGACGTTCTCGGGTGTCACAATAAGCGTCCCTCCGTGAATGCTGTCTTCCTAAAAGTGGAATGGGCAGGCGGTGGGACATGTCCCTCTTTTGTTATCTCAGACATTCTGGAACGGCTGCCCGAGCTGCCTGCCAGTCCCCCCTCCCAGCTGCCGCGTGTTTTGACACGTCTCTGGGTGTCGGTTTTGACAGACTCTTCAATATTTGTCATCTGCTCCGTGTGAAACACAACCTCACCCTGGTTGGAATCCACCTCCTCATCTTCAACGGTTGCAAAAATAGTCTCCAGGCCCGAAATAATGGAACCAGGACCCTGCGAGGCCCGTGGAAGTTACTTCTAATATATAAATTTATATATATATATTTTTCCTTTTTCCAAATAATACAGCAGAGCCCCGAGGAGGGAGCCGTGGAGTTGCTGGGCCCCGGGGTCAGCTCCCCCAGTGACTCTGCTCCAATTTACACCCCGGGGGGCAGGGGCTGCCAGGCCCACGTCTCTGCCAACGTCTCAACTTTTGTCAGTTTGACGGGGGAAAATAGGATCTGAGAACCGTCTCCCTTTGAATTTCTCCGAATGCCAACGAGGGGATGCGCCCAGAGTGCCCTGTCCCCTTTTCGGGTGCATGGTCTCCTCCTGCTTCTTATCCATCCTCTCAATGGACATGATCCTTATTGATTAAGATTTTTTTTGCTGCTCCACTCCTTGACCCCCTTCCTGATTTTTTTTTATTCCCAAAAGACAAGACAAAAGGAAGGTGTTGGCACCCGCAACGGGGTGCTCTCCTGTCATCCCAGCGACTGTGGAGGCTGAGGCAGGAGGACCGCTTGTTGGAGGCCAGCCTCAGCCACTCGGCAAGACCCTGTCTCAAAATAAAAATATAAAAAGGGCTGGAGGGGTGGCTTGGTGGTAAAGCGCCCTGGGTTCAGTCTCTAGGATAAAATAAGAATAGAAGGGCCTTGGCTTCAAGGTGTCCTGAGGGGACCTCTGGTCTAGGCAAGCCCCTGTGGCCACCTGCTTCCAAATTTCTGAGAAATGGAGGCCGGGGGTGGCCTGGGAACAGTGGCCCAGGCTGGAGCAGCTCATCTCCCACTCTGCCACTGAAGGGCCTCCGTGGTCGCCCGCAAACCCAGCTGCTGCCAATTCCCCATCCCTGTCTCCAGCCCCTGGGGGGCAGAGGGTGTGGGGGGTGGCCTCAGGCTCCGGGGTCCTCATCTCCCTGTCGAGGCTGAGCTCCAGGGAAGCCAAGCGACCCAGGACGGGGTGGCAGAGCCGGGACTCTGGAGCCGAGGGAGCTGCTGGGAACCCTGCACCCTCCCGCCTGATCAGCTGCTGGGTGGGCCACGCCTCATCAGGGCTAATTGGAGGGGGCGGGGCTGCTGAAGGTATAAGAGGAGGCCGCGTCGGCCCCGCGTCCTCACGTCTGGGCCTGCGTCCCCTGTCTGATGGCTCCCAGCGGAATTACTAGTGTTGCCGCCTCTAGCGCCCCTGCCCGGTCATCTGGGCCTTCTGGTTCCGAGAAGTCAGGTAAGCAAGGCGGGGGGGCCCTCCTGGGAGCCCTTCCCCCTCCCCCCAGTCCCCCCCTGTCCCCCCTTGTCCCACTCTGGCCCTGGCACCGTCCCCAGAGCTGTGTCCCCACAGCCGACCCCTTGGCCAAACACCTCATGCCCCAGTAGAGGCAGGGAGGCCTGGGCCTGGGGTTGAGGCTGGCCCAGGGAGGCCTCAGAGGCCAATGGCGTCTCCCCAGCTGCAGCCCATCCCCAGCCTCAGGGGAGGGGAGGCCCGGCCACAGCTGCCAGCCATCGAGGTGGAGGGGACGGAGCAGGGGCCTCAGATGCCGGGCCAGGCTCCCCGATTTCCAGGCCCCTGGCCACTGGACATGGAGGTAGCTACAGGGAGGGATTGGGGTTCCTGGGAGAGATGGAGCCTGGGTTTTGGGGGGCATGGCTTTCCACAGTTTGCTTGTAGGTCTAGAGCTTGGGGTGAGTTTCCCATTTCTCTCCCCCACTTTAAAAAACAAATTTTAAAAAATCTTTTGCAGCCAGGGGATCCCCGTTGGGAGTCCCAAATTTTGCAAATGATCCCAGTGCCGTGGCTCACGCCAGGAATCCCAGTGAGGGAGGAGGCTGAGGCAGGAGGCTGGCAAGTTGGAGGCCAGCCTCAGTGACTTAGTGAGGCCCTAAGCCACTCAGCGAGACCCTGTCTCCCAATAAAATATAAAAAGGGCTGGGGACGGGGCTCAGGGGTCGAGTGACCCCTAGTTCAGTCCCAGGTACGTAAATAAATAAATAATAATTAAAATTTTAAAAGAATAACTTGGGGATCATTCACAGACGACATAATTCACCCATTTAAAGTGAACGGCCCCGAGGACATCCAGCACATGTCCGTTCAGTTTTTAGAATATTTTCATTTCCACAAAAAGAAAATCTGTGCCAATTACCAGTCTGTCCCCATCGCCACCTCTGAACCCCTAACCCTTAACAGCCAATAATCTGATTTTTTTTTAAATACTGGGGATTGAACTCAGGGGCCCTCGGTCACAGAGCCCCGTCCCCAGCCCTATTTTGCATTTTATTGAGAGACAGGGTCTCCCCAAGTTGCTTAGGGCCTCTCTTTGGCTGAGGCTGGCTTTGAACCCTCGATCCTCCTGCCTCAGCCTCCTGGGCCGCTGGGATATTGTATATAAACATATGCCCATTATTGTGGGCCCCGGGATGAAGCTCAGGGGGTGGCTCCCCTTCGCATGAGCTCTGCCACTGAGCCACACCCCAGATCCCCAGGAGCAGATTTTGGTGGGATGCGTCTTCCCTGCCCCATAGCTTATGGGTAAAAGAAACCAGGCGGCGAGCGCTGCAGCCTGAGTTCTGCAGACACCGCCCCTGTGGCTGTCCCCCCAGAGCCCCCCTGGGCATCCTCTGCATCAGTGATTACATCTGGACAAGTGGCCCCATTTATTTATTATTTTTTTTCAAAAAGCCCTGACCCTCCACCCATGGGACTCTGCAGCAGCTGGTGCCTAGAGGGTTAGACTGCAGGGTGCACCGGCTGAGGGCCTGCCGTCCCTCGCAGGCCAAAGCTACAACTGGGACTTCCGCCGGAACCCCACGATGCTCCGCATGGTGCTGGAGGCGCTGAAGGCCCGGGAGCAGCCGCGGGGCACGTCGCGGGGCATGTCGGTGGTGGCCATCAAAGTCTACATCCAGAGCAAGTACCCGACGGCGGCGGACGCGGGGCGCTTCAAGTACCTGCTGAAGCAGGCCCTGGACACGGGCATGCGGAAAGGACTGCTCACCAGGCCCGTCAACTCCAGGGCCAGGGGCGCCACCGGCAGCTTCAAAGTGAGTGGGGAGTCGGGAGGCCCCAGGGCCTTTGCACATGCTGCCGCCCTAGACCACGCGGCTCTCATCCGCTCGGCTTGCTCCTCCTGCACGTCCAGGCTGTTCTCGGGGACCTCCCCCGGGCTCCTGGTCACCCTGTGGGCAGTATGTGTCTTCGTTGCTTTCTGGGGACGTTTTCAGAGGTCAGGGACCGTGTCTGCGATATTGAATAAGTCCTGGGACCTTCACTGTTGCCCTGAGCAACTCGGGGAGATTGAGAAGGCCGACCAGGAGCAGAATGTGGTCCCCAAAGTCCCCAGAGTGGCAGGGGCCAGACAAGGTTGGGAACACAGGCTTTCACCGTCTCCCATGCGCCTTGAGGGGTGCGGGGCGAACCCCAGTTATTCCCTCCATCTTCCCCTAAGTGGAAGGCCCTGGGGAAGCAGAGGCAGGAGGCCGAAGGCTTTTAGAGTCCGGCAGCCGCGCGGAAGAGGCTTTGCTCCCTGGCCTCTGGGCTTGGTTTATTTTTGTGCATCTCAAGTTTCTTGGTTATTTTTTTCCTTCTGAGCTTTCAAGACCCAGTAAGTGGCTGACCCCTTTATTGGCCTCAAACCTCTTTTTTTCTTCCTCCTGGAAACGTCAGCCGAAGCCCAGCAGAATGCGCACACGCCTGCCATCTCAGCGACTCGGGAGGCTGAGGCCGGAGGATTGAGAGTTGGAGGCCAGCCTCAACAACGTGGAGGGATGTAGCCCTGTGGTGAAGTGCCCCTGGGTTTAACCCCCAGTGCCACAAGCAGGACCCTTTAGAGGGGTCCTGTCATGGCCAGGGTCCTGGCTGACCAATCCCCTGAGCACTTTTAATGACCTTGACGTTGACATTGACGTCTCCGAGGTCAGACTCCCGGAGGCCAGTCTTGCCACTCTGGAAGGGGGAGCCGCGGGTTTTAATTTTCACTCTTTTGTTTTTGGTCCCAGGGACTGAACCCAGGGTGCTTCACCCCTGAGCCCTGTCCCCAGCCCTTTTTATATTTTATTTAGAGACAGGGTCTCCCTGAGTTGCTGAGGCTGGCCTCCAACTTGAGATCCTCCTGCCTCAGCCTCCCGAGGAGTGGGGAAGACGGGCGTGGGCCACTGTGCCCAGCGTCAGGCATGATTGGGAGCCTGGTTCCAGTTTTGGGGGGTAACGTGGTGCTGAGAGGGTTTGGAGGTGGCAATAGCTTCAGAGCTGGGGCCGGGAGGCCGGGTCAGGAGTCCCCGCACCCCCGATGCGCCCACACCCTCTCAAGACTCTTGGGGCTCAGGGCAGGGGCACCCGAGCTCTGGTCCCACCCCACCCTCTCTTCCTCCCTCCAGCTGGTTCCCAAGCACAAGAAGAAAGTCCAGGCCAGGAAGACGCCGGTCCCCAAGGTCCCCAAGGTCCCCAGGAGGCCCAGGGAGGCTGCTGGGAAGGGCCCCAAGAAGCCAGGCGCGGAGCAGAAGGAAGCGCCCAGCTCTGGCCAGGCCGCGAGGGCCGTCCCCAGGCCAGGGCCAGCCAACCAGGGGGTCCCCAAGAGAGGCCGCCGGGAGGCCAAGGACGCCGAGGCCACCAAGCCTCCCCCCAAGCCAGCCAAGGCCACTCGGGCCCCTTCCAGTGCCAACGGGACCAGTGAGAAGCGGAGAGCCAAGGGCAAGAGGCGACAGCCAGGTGGGTGAGGGACGGGGACAGGGACCGCGGGGGGCTCCCCTGTGAACCCTGACGGACAGCTCGGGGTGGCCCGTGGGGTTACGGAGGCAGCTCAGGTGTTGGGAAGGAGGGAGGCCAGAGCCCCCCGTGGTCCCTGAAGAGGAATCCGGGAGGGCTTCCTGGAGGAGGTGACTCCAGGAAATCACACGCAGAGGCCCAGAGACAGGAATGGGCGCTGTGGGGGTCTGCAGCGAGCTCAGTCTGTCCACCGTGCGGGGACGGCATCTGGGGTCCCAGGCTTTGGCCAGTGCCCGGGGGGCGGGGGGGTCCAGAGGCCCTGACTCTTCCCTCCCCCATGATGATCCCCCCCAACCTGCTCTAGATGCAGAGGCTTGTGGGAAACCCAAGGTGAAGAATGCAAGCTCAGAGGTGAAGACCGCGGGTTCAAAGCCCGCCGACGGGCAGGTGGGCACCTGGGTGACCCCCGGGGTATGGTCTCCCCCCAACCCGCAGTGTGCTCTCCTCCTCTCTGGGGGGTGGTCTTCCCTGTTTTATGGCCAAGGGGCTGAGGGGAGGGGAGACGAGGTCACTTGTCCAGAGCCTCTGAGCTGGGCCTCCCATCCTGGCCTCCCGTCCTGGCCTCCCATCCTGGCCTCCCATCCTGGCCTCCCATCCTACCCACGTGGCCTCCGAGCTGCACACCCAGCTCTGTCTCCCTGTCCCTGACTTTGCTTCTTGTAGGTCAAGAATGGAGTCTCCTCCCCAACCAGAAGGAAGATGGCAGCCAAGACCCCTAAAGAGAAGGTCGGCCAGGGGCCCCGGCAGAGATCAAGACCCAAAGCTGCTGCTGCTGTCCCTCGGAAGGGTGATGGGTCCACGGCTGTCCCCACACCTGTGGCCAGGAAGACAGAGGCCCCTGAGGGCCTGAGAAAGCCCAGGCTGCCCACCAAGTCCCCATCCTCCAAAGCACGCAGCAAGAAGGTAGAGGCCGAGAAGTAGAGGCTGAGAGGTAGAGGCCAGGAGGTAGAGGAGGCCGAGAGGGAGAGGCCGAGAGGTGGAGGCTACGGTGGGCAGAGACGGTGATTTTTCTTTGAATCTTTATTCTCTGATCAACCATTATTCAATTTTAATGTAACCTATTTATCAATAAAGGCTTCATTTTCTTTTTCCTATATCTTGGTGACGATGGGTGCTGAGGTTGAGGGATTGGGCCACTTGGTCCCTTTTAAGCAACCACGGAGCACCTGCCCTTTATCTGGCCAGTGCTGGGGAGAGGACAGGACAGGACCTCCGCTGGGCTGGGTGACAGACCACAATCTGGAAGGGGCTGGGCCTAGTCCTGGGGCCCAGGGGGGTGTTGAACCCCGTCTTGGGATCTGGGACCCCTTCCCATGTGTGGTTCTTCTCTGCTGGAGGGGTGGTCCGTGTCCCTGCCCCTCAAATCCAGCCTCTGGACAAGCAGGACATGACCGTATCTGAACCCCCACCTGAAGACGTCGGTAGCTTTTACGTTTTGTGCTTTTTTTTAAAATTTTCTTCTGCTTCTCCATCTTGGAAGCCGGCCGCCATTCTGTGAGGAAGCCCAAGCAGCTCGTGGACAGGAAGCCAAGCACCCGGTCTTCAGGGCCAGATCCCTGACCAGCCAGGCCCGGTTCCCTGCCCTGTGGCTTTGCCATCTTGGAACGGAACCTTCTAGCCCTGGCTGACCTAACCCCACTGGCACCTGGTGGGTTGGGGACCTGCCTCCATGGCCGAGTCCTGTCCCAGAAGCGGATTCAGGACCCAAGTAAGTAGTCACTGCTATTTTTAAGCTGTGGGTATTCAAAGGGCCACAGATGGGTACAGTCATCCCGGCGACTCGGGAGGCTGAGGCAGGAGGATGGCCAGTTGGAGGCCAGCCTCAGCCACTTAGTGAGGCCCTGAGCAATTCGAGGAGACCCTGTCTCTTATGTCATGGCTCAGGAAATGACCCCCGAATCCAGAGCGAGCCACCTCCACTTGCTGGCAGCCTCTCTGCACGTTCGTTCCCAGGGAGCCGCATGCTAATCAGACATTCAGACAGGCTGCGGCATATTCCATGACACAAAGATGTCACCAGATATGGGCACATGGCGGG